GACCCTCTGTATGTCACTGTCCCCTTCCCCAGCAACTGTCCCATCTCCACCCTCTTTTGTGTCACTTCCTCTTCTCCTTCCCTTTGTGTGTCTCTTTATCCCCCAGCCCCTTCTTGTGTCTTTGTCTCCAACAGTCCCTTTTGTGTCTTTCCCCCCAAGCCCCTTTGCTTGTGTAATTTTCCAGTGTGTGTCTTTGTCCCTTTTCCCAGCCACTGTCCCCTTTACCAGCCCCTATGATTGTCTCTACATCCCCTTTCCCCAGCTCATCTTTGTATGTATCCCTGTCCTCTTTCCCAGCTCCTTTGTCTGTGTCATTGTCCCCTTCCCCAGGCGATTTTGTGTGTCTTTCTCATTTCAAACTTTGCACGCCTGCTCACCTCCCATGTAGGGTGTCCAAAGGGACTGGGGGTATGGGATATTCTGTAAACACTACCCAGTCTGACAGGAAGCTGTTTCTTGCTCCCAGCAAAGAAGTGACAGGCAGAAGGGAGAGTGTTGTGCTGTGTACTCTCCTTCTGATGGTCAGCCAGGGTCAGGACATTGGTTGCCTAGTGGAAGCACCAGGGCCGCCATCCAAATCTCACCCACAGAACCCACCTCCAAATCCACCCACATGGAAGCAGTGTTTGTAGAGTGGATACAGGGTGTGTGTTTTGTGGATGCAGTGTGTGTTTGTGTTTTGACTGCAATGTGTGTAAGTGCATGTGTAGTGGATGCAATGTGTATGTAGTGGATGCAGTGTGTGTGTGTGTGTGTGTGTATATATATATACACACACAATTTGTGTTTGAATGTAAGCATGTTTTTATATGGAGTATGTGTGTGAATTTTGGTGTTTGAATCCATGTGTGCATTTGTGAGTAGTGTATACACTTCCACACACACTGATACACAGACACACAAATACACACACTGACACACAGATACACACACATATATAGCCACATAGACTCACCGCGTGGCGTTTCAATGATCATGAGAATGGTGAGGAATCAGCCCAGAACTACACGGGAGGATCTTGTTAATGATTTCAAGTCAGCTGGGACCATAGTCACCAAGAAAACAATTGGTAACACACTACACCGTGAAGGACTGAAATCCTGCAGTGCCCACAAGGTCCCCCTGCTCAAGCAAGCACATGTACAGACTCGTCTGACGTTTGCTAATGAACATCTGAATGATTCAGAGGAGAACTGGATGAAAGTGTTGTGGTCAAATGAGACCAAAATCAAGCTCTTTGGCATCAACTCAACTTGCTGTGTTTGGAGAAGGAGGAATGCTGCCCATGACCCCAAGAACACAATCCCCACTGTTAAACATGGAGGTGGACACATTATGCTTTGAGGGTGTTTTTCTGCTAATGGGACAGGACAACTGCACAGCATCAAAGGGACAATGGACGGGGCCATGTATTTCTTGGGTTAGAACCTGCTTCTCTCAGCCAGGGCATTTTAAATGGATAGTAGATGGGTATTCCAGTATGAAGATGATCCGAAACACACAGCCAAGGCAACAAAGGAGTGGCTCAACAAAAAGCACATTATGGTTCTGGAGTGGTCTAGCCAGTCTCCAGACCTTAATTCCATAGAAAATCCGTGGAGGGAGCTGAAGATTCTAGTTGCCAAATGTCAGCCTCGAAACCTTAATGACTTTGAGAGGATCTGCAAATAGGAGTGGGAGAAAATCCCTCCTGAGATGTGTGCAAACATGGTGGCCAACTACAAGAAACATCTGATCTCTGTAATTGCCAACATGGGTTTTGCCACCGAGTACTAAGTCAAAGGGGTCGAATATTTATTTCACTCATTGACATGCAAATCAATTTATAACTTTTTTGACATGTGTTTTTCTGGATTTTTTGTTTTGTTACTCTGTCTCTCACTGTTAAAATACACCTACCATTAAAATTATAGACTGACCATTTCTTTGTCAGTGGACAAACGTTCAAAATCAGCAGGTGATCAAATACTTTCTTCCCTCACTGTATATACATAAATACATACATATAGACACATACATATATACAGACACATACATACTGTGATAAAGTGAAGGCAGATAGGCCTTTTAACCCCAGGGGAAGTACGTGTAGTTTGTGTGTTGCACAACACAAAACACTGTTTAGTTATGGGCCCCTGGGGTGGAGCATTTGGAGAGAAGGGTGGGCCAATGCTCCACTCCACAGTTTAGTGGTTTTCTGGGGAGACATGGATCCAGGCCAGGGTTTTTTGGATCGTCTCCAACCCACTGCTCAGCTGCAGTTAATGAGCTGTTGCAGTGGGAATAAACTCCTCCCTGCTAGGCAGGTAAAGGAGAGGGATTGCTGGCTTCCTCCCAGGAAGCAGGTAGGAGAGAGAGGCTGTTCTCTCCAGATAGAGTCAAGGAGACTAGGCACTGGGAGTGCAGAAAGGAAGCAGTCAAGGCTGGCTTGGAGCACTGGGAGTGCAGAAGGAAGCAGTCAAGGCTGGCTTGAAGGCACTGGGAGTGCGGAAAGGAAAGCAGTCAGGGCAAGGCTGACTTGGAGCACTGGGAGTGCAGAAAGGAAAGCAGTCAGGGCAAGGCTGGCTTGGAGCACTGGGAGTGCAGAAAGCAAAGCAGTCAGGGCAAGGCTGGCTTGGAGCACTGGGAGTGCAGAAAGGAAAGCAACAGGCTAGCTAGCAGAGTGTTGCTTTCTAATAAGGTTGGTGCAATATTGTTTTGTTTAGTTTAACCCTGAGAGATAGGGAACCTAACGTCAGTTAGTGCTCAGACCGAGCTAGGTTTTTGTTTATAGGGTTTTCTGTTACATTTGTTTTCATTTACTGCTGTATCCTGTGTGGATTTAACAATAAAGTGACTGGATTATATGGAAAGCAAAGGACTGTGCAAGTTTTTACCCTAGAGGACCGTGCTACCTGCTGACAAGGATCACAATACATATACATACATACATACTGACATACACACAGACACATATGTACATACTGACATACATTTATTCTGACATACATACACACAAACTCAGCTCATTTTTCAGCCACCCTCCTGTTTCTTACCTTTTCACTGCAGGCGGGTGGCTGGGGCTGATGGGAGTCAATGTGGCTCTCCCTCTTCACGGCCTGTTTATCCTCCCTCCCACGTGGAGTTAGCTGGGAGGAAGTGACCGGCCATCATTTCCTCCCAGCAATCTTTGCGGTTGACATTTTTAAAGGGGCCTGGTTGTGCTATTGCACGGGCACAGCTCTGACCGGGCCCATAGGGTGGCCCTAAATGCTTGGGCCACCCGATGGACCCCATCAGCGTGTGGACCCCGGTGCAGTTGCACATGGGGCCTGACCATCATGGTTGCCACCTCCTGATGGTGGCCCTAGGTAGACTGGCCCTGCCCACCATGAAAAGATGCAGCAATAAATGCTGGCATTTTTTCATTGTGGTTATATCTACTAATTATTTTTTTAATTGATATTTTATTCCATTGGTGTGCTCCTTTAAAGGAACACTCTGTTCACCATTTGGTGTCAGAAATGCCTTGTTGCCCTACAGGTTGAGAATAGTTTGACAACATACCTGTGAGCCAAAAGCTCCACTGAGCAAGGCCATGATATACAGGTCCAGCTTACTGGACGAGAGCTAGTGGGAGTTAATATATATATATATATATGTATCTGATGAAATGGGAGAGTCATACAACCACTTGCTAAATACCTATTAAAGGGACACTATAGTCACCAAAATAACTTTTGTTTAATGAAGAAGTTTTGGTGTATAGATCATGCCCCTGCAGTTCAAATCTCTGCCATTTAAGAGTTAAATCACTTTGTTTATATAGCCTTGGTCACACCTCTCTGCATGTGACTTACACAGCCTTCCTAAACACTTCCTGTAAAGAGAGATCTAATGTTTATGCTTCCTTTATTGCACATCCTGTTTAATTTAGAGTTTATTTTCTCCTGCTCTGTTAATAGACTGCTAGACCCTGCGGGAGCCTGCTGTATATAATTAAAGTTCAATTTACAGAGCAGGATATAAAAACATTTAAAGTAAGTTACATTTAATTGTCATTAAAGATACACTGTTTAATAGAAATTCCCCCCCAAAGAAAATATGAATATGTATAATTATGCATTTTCTCCTTGCGGGTGCATGTAAAAACAGCTTGCAAAAGCTAAGGATCTCTTGCTTGCAGCCTTTGCAAGTCCTCCCATTCTTCTCTAGCAGGTGTTCTGGGCTATTGCTGCCTCTGGAGTTTAGCTCCCCTGAGAACACACTCTACATACATAAAGCATATCAGCAAGCTAGAGTGCTTTAGTTGTTTGGAGTGTTCTTTAAATAACCAACTCAGTTCTAATGAGCAGTGGATTTTGCTATATTTATTCTCATAGAAAATTAGTATACTGCAATAAATACAACAATAGATTGATTTACTAAATATTATCCCTCCGGTCTGGAGTGTCCCTTTAAACTGCTATGTCTAGAATCTAGAACAGCATCATGCTTTATAAATTAAATTAATCCTGTAGAATAACCAACTCAATAAATGACTGCAGGACTAGAATTGTCAAAGAAGGACATTCTGTTCTGCCATAATTTATTTAGGTGTTTGAATGTAAAGCCAACCTGTAAATTGTAACATTTGGTTCACAAGGGGTTAATTGTAATCTTCATACAATATGACCAATTTTCATGTAAAATAATATTCATGATTAAAATGTGTGAATAAAACTGTTATTTGACATAGTACTATTAACTGGAGGAGAGTGCTGTGAAAATCAATGTCATTGTCATTAAAAAGTATAAAAAATTAACAGTGTTAAGAAATTTAAAAAAAAAAATACATTTTTGATAACATTTAAGCCCCAGAACACACTCACCAATGTTCAATAATTTTAATATTTTAATGTTATTTTGTAATATTGTTATTGGTCAATGTTTTGCTCTCTTCCTCTCCATGCATAAAAAGCAGAACAAAACCACAATGTGTGCTCTTCCAATAACATGAGTGTTTACTAGTATACATTGTGCGTTGATTAACACATCCAAAAATAGACCCACTTTAGGCAGTTCATGTGAGGATGCTGAATGCATTATCTGCTTAATACATTCAAACACACTTTGGGGAAAAAGCAGGCGCATCTAAACAATCCTTTAATCTCTTGTTTGGACTAGTGAATTATTACATTCAATCTCACAGATTCCTCTTCTCTCCAGTGAGATAGTCTCATCCAGGGACAAAATATGTAAATCATTTATCACTGAATAGTAAAACTGTTCAAATAATCCCTAATCCAGGGAGCCTGCATCATTGCATACTGTATCGTCTCCATAGCTGTATACCTAGTCTCTGAATCACTGAATTCATTCCTTATGGCCATGGGAGTTGTCTTTCCTAAAATAAACTGTTTTCCTAGTCCATGGACTGACAGCACTTACTGATTATAACATTTCTTCTTAAGCTTGTCCACTCATCTCATGGTCCCCTGGTCAAATTTTTTTGCAGAATGAAACTCTTGGGTCTCCACCATTCTATTTAGAAGCCAAGCGATCATCGTGAAGGTCTCTTGCAGTAGCACTGCACAGACTTGAATAGCTGGCGCGCCCCCTCGCGGAAGCGCTGATCACACACACTGTAGATGATTACATTGCAGCAACTATTGCTGGCCAGGACCCAAAAGGCAAAGAAGGAGAAGGTGCACCACTGGTAACCCAAAACGTTGCCCACTACAAACACTGCAATGGGTGTGAAGGAGACTGTGAAGGCTACAGTGAGTGCCCCTATGGTTTTGGCAGCCTTGATGTCTGAGAAGGAGAATTTGAGGGGCTCCTGGTCTGTCCCAGACAAGAGTTTTCTCCTGCGAGTGTACTGGTGAATGGACGTAAGGGACAGGGCATTGATGATTAAGGTGGCCCCTAGAAGGCTGAAGTCGAATGCAGGGAAGAGTAAAAGTATTTGCCAGACCCTAGCAGAAGAGGCAGGAGCAGGGGCATAATTGCACATACGGCTGCAGTCATTATACTCCACCACTATTCCACCTTGGCTGAATATGATGGGGATCATGGCCAAGAAGAAGCTGGACAGCCAGGAGAGCAGGATAAGCAGCAAAGTCCTCTTCCTGGTGATCACCACTTCCTTGTGCAGGGGTTTAAAGATAGCCACACTCCTTTCAATGGCCAATAAGAAGATTGTACTAATCGACACCAGGGTGCAACCAGCAAAGACAGGTCCAACTAGATAGCAAGGGTGCCAACTATAAAAGAGCATGCCATCGTGAGCTCCTTCCTGGGATGGGCTCTCCAGAAAGAGTGGGGTAATCTCTCTGTAGACAGAGAAGGGAACCACCAAAATTCCCAAAGCCAGGTCTGCCACTGCCAAGGAGGTCTTCAGGTAGCCTTGGGCAGTGCGATAATGCTTGGTGCCCAAGAAGACAGCCAGAATGATACAGTTTCCCAGTAAGATGGCCAAGCTCAAAGTTATCATGAAGATGACAGATAATATTCTGTTCTCAGAGGAGCAGCAGCAGGCACTACAGTTGGTCTGGTTGAGCTCAGCCAGCATCCTGTCTTTGAGGTCAACCTGGTCCCCAGCTCTGATCCCTGACATTCCCTTACCTGATGCCCTCAAAGAATATTCCATGAAGCTCAAAGCCAGATCGTTCAGCTTTAGAGCTTCCCATCTAAGAGACCACTTTTCTGTCTGTTCATATGGACCATGTGTGCTCCCTCTGCTCTCTGCACATTGTCATGTACAAACCTCACACCCACCCACTGCCTGCACATCCTTCTGTCGTATCCCTCTGACTCTTTCAGTCTTCTTTCATACATCATCTCTTATTCAAACGCCTCCTCTCTCCCCATATTGCTGCTACATCCTTTTTTTAATCTAGCTCCCTCCTCTGTGTTTAAATGCACCCCCACCTTACCTTGTTCTCCAAAACTCTGCACTTTCCTTTCATTAGTTAATCTCTTGTTGTTCTGTCCACGATGCAACAATGTTCCTGTCTTCATTCTATCTTTGTCTCTGGATTCTACATCTGTACACGTACTGTCCAGTAACTTCTGATACATTGTTATCTATGTGTCAGTGTCTCTGTATCAAGCAGTTAGCTGGCAATGCTTGGATTGGGGAATACAAATTGAGACTCTAATTCTCCTTGCTGCCATGTGAGTGTGTTTTAGCAGAATGTATGAGGCTGGGAAGAAGTTCTCCTGTAGGGGACTGTCACAGAATCGCAGCTCTGTACAGAAAATGCAAATGTACAACTTTTCAAAAAAACCCTGACTCTGGCTGCATACTGGGCAAAGTATGTGACTGCAGGCACATTGTCATAATCTGTGTATACAGAGGCTGTAAACATCTGCAGCCTTGCAAAGGGCTGTGTAATATTCCTCATACACTGACTGGGGGATATAGACAGGCAGAGACAGATAGCAAGGGAGAGACAGAGGGATAGAGTACACTGGTACACTGAGATTTCTCTTCTTTCCACATACATTTATATTTATATCGCAATAAGGTAACAATAAACAGTTAATGATACCTATGGAACAAGTTACAAATATACTGTGTACAAACTAAAACATAATAATGATGTGTAATATTTGTATTATTTCTGGGAGTTGGTTATCAGAGGTAATTGGTGTAACTATGAACGTTAATAAAATATAAATGAAAAAGAATTATTGATGTCGAGTTCTTTTTTTAAAATTTCTTTTCGATGTGAGTTTTTATTTAAATGTCATTGTAGGTTGTTAGGTTGTAGCAGACAAAGCTAATGGAGGCAATTCAAAGGAAACCATTTACACTTCTAACTTCTCTTGTAAATGACCGTAGACATTTTAAATTCAACGTATATAAATAGACCAATTACACAATGTTGCTTAGTTACTCACAAGGATCCTGCTTGTCATCAGGTGAAAATATCTTCTTCAGGTGTGGCTATTTTATTATTACAATTGTTATGTGTATTTTTCCAAAAATAACTTGAAGCACAAGGTACAAGAAGCATACAACAGGAATATTAAAGGAACTCAAAGTATCACAACCAATAAAGCCTGTTGTAGTGGTTATGGTTCCCGGAGTGCCCTTTTGTGAATGGTTTGATAACTTTCCTGGGGTTTGATAACTTTCCTCTTGTAAGGAGCTTTTGTTAGCTCCCTAAGCTAAGCCCTGCAGCACAGAGCCAGTTCAAAGGTTAAGAGTATCCGCTGAATTGCTCTCTGCCAATTATTATTGTTACTGGCATTTTTAAAGCACCAACATGTTCTGCAGTACAGTACAATTGAGGAAAAATATAGTGCAATATAAACAGACCAATACAAAAGGTAAAGAGGGCCGTGCCCATGAGCTAAGATCTAGCCCTTGAATGCCTTTTATACAAAGTACATAGCTAGATAGCATGTGAGCTTACAATCTAAAGTTAAAATGCATTGTTGAGACAAAAGGTAGCAGGGTGAATTTGGAGTTGATGGCCAGAGATAAATAACGGAGAATTACAGCTACTGTTAACTTGTTAAAAAGGGGTAGGAAACGTTTGGCAACTCAAATGTAGACTACATCTCCCCTGATGCTTTGCCAGCATTATTGCTGTAACATAAATGAGTTCTGGTTAGTGACTATGGATGTCCAGTCACTATATACTTCTACAGACCACCAGAAAGGGCTAGACGCTGTAGATGACAGTTTACATAGTGACCTCTACACCAAACCGACCGATCGTAACAACTTACTTATGTACGAGAGTTGCCATCCCACACATCTAAAGAATGGGTTACCATATAGCCAGCTACTTAGGGGCAGGAGAATAATTTCCCAAGAAGAAAAAGTACTGACAGGGTTAGACTTCATGTCACAGAAATTTATGGAAAGAGGTTACCCTACACAAATCATTCAAACACAGAGAGAAAGGGTTCAAAACTTGACACGACAGGAAGTCCTGTATGGCACCCTGAAAGATAACAAGATGGACAGAATAGCTTTCATATCCCCATACACTCCACTTAACAAAGAGATACGCAAAATTATAATGAAACACTGGCAACTCTTTTCAGGAGACACGCAATTGCCTTTGGAGTTTCAGAACCCACCACTCTTTTCATACCAAAGGGCACCTAACCTGAAAGACCTATTAGTCAAATCAGATATTGGCAGTTCAAAGAGGCAGACCACATTTCTTTCTGAACCCAAGAAGGGTACTTTCCCTTGTCTAGGTTGCTCGCACTGTAGAAGTGTGATTAAGGGGGAACACTTTGTCCATCCTCGATCTGGCAAAAAATTCCTGGTTAATGGGTTTTATACCTGTAATTCTGATTTTGTAGTGTACATCCTAAAGTGTCCATGTGGGTATGTATATGTGGGGGAGACCATCTGACCCGTTAAAGAGCGAATAGGGGAGCACAAGAGGAGTATCAGGACAGCTTTGCAGCGTGGCACTAGTGAGGCGCCGGTGACCAGACACTTGAAGACTCAAGGACATGGAGTTAACCAACCGAGATTTCAAGTTATCGATAGAGTACCTCCCTTAAGGAGAGAGGGTGACAGACAGAGACTCCTTCTCCAGAAGGAGACTGAGTGGATCAGTGTCTTAGAAACATTGTCACCCTCAGGACTCAATTAGGACTATGATTTGAAGCATTTTTTATGACTTTAAGTCCTTCTGTCTTATGCTTATAAGTCTTAGTATGGGTTAATTCTCCTGTGTAAGTCTGATTATTCATTGTAAGCTGACTTGTACCTTGTGCTCCCTATAGTGCTCCCATTAGACCAATACTGGTCCGATTCCCTCTTGCGGCAACAATTCGACCTTCATAGGTCCGCTACCTGGCAGTTTCGACACAGGGTCCCTCACATTGAATATACGGGGATACTTGGGGACACTACATTATTGGTAAGCAATACTAATTTATTTTTTTAAAGAAATTCGTGTGCACTACTGTTGTTGAAATTACTCCTTTATTTATCATTTGCAGCCTTCATCATTTATTTTTTCGTTTTTTTTATAATTTTTTACGCCTTTTTGTTTTCTATTTACTTCCTCAACTACTGCTGCAGGTAAGCAACCAGATATTTTGTAGATATTTAGTATGTATATGTATATATGTTTGTACATAATTTTAGGGCTGTTATGGGGAACACCTCTAATTCCAACACCAGTCAGTAGAAGAGTGTATGTATACTTTAGAGATTTTTTTTATACATTTAAGTAACCAGGTATCACCTGTTGGCTACTACATTATAGAATTGGTGAATGTCTTAAAAATCACTGTTTAGCCAGTTAGGGCACAGGGTTGACCTCTATACATTTAGTCACTGGTCTCTATATTCAATTAGCATACCATAAACTCTTGCATTAACTTGTGATATACATAGGATCATTACCTTTAAACCAGGGCCAGACTGGGAAGAAAATTCGCCCCGGGCATTTTTTAATTACAGAAGCCCACTAAAAAGGGGGCAGGGCCAGATAGGGTGTGTTTTGTCATCACCAATGACAAGCACGCCCCATCACAAAGTGAGCATGTTGGTTCAATGCTATTCCAGAGCTCTGGCATGAAAAAAATAAGTTTTTTTCCTCATTTTTCCTTTTTTTCCCTTTTTTCTATTTTTTCAATATATTTTTTTTTCATTTTTTCCATTTTTTTCATTTTTCTAAACTTTTCAACTTTCCTGTGTTGTGTATATACATTTTTCTAAACATAGAGAACCATTTAGTGGTGGATCCACCTGAACATCAATGAACTATCGAACTCAATATATATTGTGTATATATAGACTGTATATAACTGTACATATTCTGGGATGTATATATGATGAAGTTTGTGAAATCAATGAATTTATAAGGTTATCATCAAATTACTATAGGGATTCATATATATCCCATGAATTGGTATACATAATTATTGTATAATAAATCAATTTTCCTTTTTTGCATATACATCAATTGACTCTCAACTCTTTTTTCATAAAAGTCACATATTTGAGTGCGGTATTGAACTTATGGATTTTTAGTATATCATTTTGAGGTTGTTATGGGGAATATCTCCAATACCAGCACCATCCTGTAGAAGAGTGCCAGCACATTCTATGTTATTTTGTAACATCTGGATTGAGTATTGTAGCGGAACGCCAATATTAAATCCACGAATTCCGCTGGTTCAGGAAATAATCCACAGTCAAGCGCTGAAACAACAAGGCAATATCCCCACCCTCCCAGTAACCGGACGAGACACAGTTCTGAGAGTCAAGTGAAATCCTTTAATTCGGCTGCACAATTTATACAAGTCCCCATGCAAGGGGTTTCCTGAGTCCCTTCCCAGGGGCACTCCCAGAGGGGACTACATGGGGGACTTACATTACAGCATATTTTTCCCATCAGGCACTGCTGCACGAGAGGGGTCCTCTCCCAGAACCCACCGTTAAGTGGATTATCCCCTCGTGCAGCAGAACCGACAATTTACACAAAAATCCATAACTTGGTGAATATATGGTGGATTTACATGAGCTGGGGTCTGAGCGCATCATTCGTGAGATTACCGCTCAGATCCCAGCTAAAATAACCGAACGCCGCACGAAAAACACATTTCTTATAAAACATATAAAAAGAACCGATTGCTTGCAGGGAACAAAATACCGAATGGCCCGAAACTCCCGAACGTCCTGGAGGCTCAGCGGTGTTCGTGCCGTCGACCAAACTCCAGCGCAGCAGCCTGGCA